CAAAACACAGTGAAGCTGGAGACCTTTGACTTTCTCTTTCTGGAGGTGTTTCTGATAAGTTGTCAGAAAAAGCAGACATTCAGCATTTATCATTTATTAATACAGATTTAGAAAATGGTAGGACTACAAATAGCTGCCTTCAGGAAGTACTGTAAAAGAGTCCATGATTATTCTTCATGATTAGAAAAGTAATTTTTGCATGACACAACCAAAGAAAAGCACAGTGTCCTTCCGCATACTTCACCTGCCTTCCTATCCTCTCCCATTCCTCCCCGTTCTGTAATGGAGCTCTTCCTTTTTTATAATAATGAGAATAGTAATTGAGAGCCAAGGCCCAGGATTCTCCACTAGGTCTGGTGGATTCATTATTTGTCTACATTCTTTTCAATCCAAATTAAAGAAAATATTTTCTTTGCCATACATCCTATGTGCAAATAGCTTAGTTTTAATATTTATAATTTAAAATCTAAATACAATATGCACTGTAATGTTGAATATAGATGAGCTGATCCTTCATAAATATTCACACTCCAGGTTCTTATTGAACTGTTTATGTGATATTTACTGTATTATAATTTAGCAATTTACTTGTCTATCTTCCTTTGAATTGAGAGCTTCACAACAATAAGAAAACATGCTGAGACCATCTTACTTATCTTCATAACTTCAGCATCTAGAAAAGTACCATAATAGGCAATAAGTTTTCACAGATAAATGTACTAGATGTAGTGAAGAACCTAAATGGAAAATGATTATATTACCTTAGACAGGAGATACAGAATCAGTATGTAAAGCAACTAGAATATTTACTGACAACAATCACCATTAGGTTCAGTTTTCAAATCCATCATTTACTAGCTGTATGATTTGAGTAAATGATTTAGCTTTTGAGAATTGCTGTTTCCTTCTCTACAAGAGGGGCATGGTGGTAATGTCTACCTTGATGATAATATGGAGATTAAATGGAATTATGTATATACATACGTAAATGTGTATATGTATGAATGGCACGTGCCTGTAATTTCATCTACTGGGATAAGGAGGGAGGAAGATCACAGTCTAAGGCCAGGCTGGGAGATAGCATTAGACCCTATGAAACAGAAATTACAGCAAAAAATGGCTAGGGATGTGATTCCAGGATCAGAGTAGCTGCCTAACAAAGAAGGTCCCAGTGTTTTATCCAAGTACTACAAGTCTTTCCTGGTTACTAATTACATTTTTATACTTCATGTTTCCAAAAGGTAAGTTGGCTTTTGGTTCAAAATCATCTGCTGAACACCCAAATTTAAATAATGCCTTCCCTATGATCACATTTCACTGGCAGTAAAGACATGTTGTAAAGAACAAATCCCTCACAATGTTGCAATATATACTTCTCAAAATGCTTATTACTGGTAGTAATCAAATGCATAATTTTCATTTTTCTGAACAATGTAGCTCTTTTTATTCTGCTGCATTCAGTGGAGAAATTTCAAGTAAATTGAAAAATACATACTGTCCACAAACACAGGCACACATAAAACTACTTTGTATGTCATTAGCATATATGTTGAAATGTTTATAGTTTACGGTCAGAGAAGAAGTGGGAAATGCAGCTGATATTCAAACCAAGTTGTAGGACATACTTGTGCTCCTCAACAGAAAGAGCTTTGTTAGTTAACAAAACAGTTTGACTCTAGGGAAAGACCAATTCAACAAGATATGATGGAACATTTATTCCCCAGCGTCTCACTCTTTCTATATCTATATTGTTATCTTCTGTTTTCAGTTGGTGTTATAAAATTGATCCCATAATACTAAAGAGAAAGACTATGCCATTCCACCAAATAGACTGGAATTACATAAAAAAAAGTTCTCATATCTGCAGGAAGGAGAATAGCCTTGCAGCTGTCATGTTCCCCTGTTTTTATGCCTAATGAAGACCTTTGGTAGCTTCTGAAAAGAAATGTTGAAATTTTTCAAGTCATATTGCACTAATATCACAAAATTATATGATTTGAGCATTACAAATAGAGCAGATTAAAAGATTCAGTATTTAACAGGAATTTACTCTTCTGAAAACAATAATCTCACTATGGAAGTGTGGGTTAAACAACAGATCCTGTTGTCCTTGCGCTTTTGTAAATTGTTGTGCTCTCTTTCAGAAAGGGACTGCTTGAGAGATTTTTTTGCTGAGCTATTATGGAGAGTCCAACTTCTGGCTGGACTACCTTTTATGAGTGTGCTGTATTTACATGCTAGAAGATATGCCAACTTCTAAATGTTTTCTATTTGAAAAGCTGTCGTCTGGATGCAGATTTGATGTATTTAGCAAATAAAATTGGGGAAATAACACTATGAGAGTTTATACTAAATATTGCTGTATCACATGGTAAGAAAAATTTGTATGATTGTTTACATGCACTTCTTAATACTATATAAAAGTAGGTAAAAATGAAATACTTCATACTCATTAACAATCAGCACAATAAAAAAGAAAATGGAGCATATTTATATCTACATCTACTGGTTACAAATATGAGTTAGATCTTACTCTCCTGGCACTATCTTGTAAGGCGTTGTATGGACATTTGTAAAAATTTAAGTCTTATCATTGCACAACTGAATATTAAGAATAAAGGTAGAACTTTAACAAAAAAATTGCTTCTTCAAAGTAATATTTTTGCATCTAAGTATCAGAATAATGGAACTTTACCATTTTTAGAGTGTGTTGGTAAATGAACCTTAGCAATGTCACATTGATTTGGTACTTAGCTTAAATAGAAGTTCTGACGATGAGTTTTAAGTGTCACGTTAAAATAATATAACTTTAAAAACTCTACAAAATGTGCACAAGTCCCAGAATGAACTAAAAGCCAAGTTAATAGCATAGTCTCAAGTATTGCATAAAAAGAAAATGTGCAGACTGCTTCATTAGCTAGAATAATAATTTATATTCTATACCTATTAAAGGGAAAAATGACAGGTTATCTCAATATATGAAGTGTATGAAATCAGAATTTACCTCATTTTATTAAAGATAAAACAGAAGGTCTGCAGGAAGCAGAAACCACAAGAGTTGTTAGGAAAAACATGCTTGAAAACAGGCTAGTGTACTGTCAAGCAGCAGAGAGCTCTGTGGGCTGTGATCTGGAATGTGGTCACATAGGCCATCAGAACTCCCTGAGAGCAGGAGGAAAAAGAAGGCCTAATGCTGATAACAATGTTTTGATGGAGAACACATAGATTGTTCAATGATTCTGTAAGGTAATGAAATAAGAATATGGAAGGAATGATTTTTCAAGGGCAAAGTCTCTCCAAAATGTTTTAAAGAATCGGTTTAGTCCTTTGTTTAAAACTTGCACAGTTCTAAGAAGCACCTAGCACACTTGTAAAACAAAACAAAAAACAAACAACAAACAAACCCCCTTTCCAACTCTACAGACCTTGCCCCACTTGTGATCCAGCGGAAGTAGGTATCGTTTTCGTCTGTATTTTTGAAAAGACTCAAGTAAGCCTTATGATAAAGTTGGTTTGGGAAGAAAGTCTTTTCCTCCCATATTTAAGTCTTGAACTTGTATTTGAATAATACAGCTTGCTACTACTGAATAGTAACAAGTACTCTCATTCAAGGAAACACAGTCTGATTATTTGATTTCTCTGTGTGATTTTTTAAAAAATTGTTAAAACTTTGGGGACTAGGAAAAGCCCTACCAATTAAATGAAACACATTATTCTTATGTTACTTAATGGGGCTAAATTGAATAATCCCAATTTGCTTCATTACTGGCTTCCTTCAACATTAACACATTCATACTTCATTAGGCTCCAAAATCAAATGACTGAAAGAGATGTTAGAAATTATATATTGTGTCTGCCTTTCTTAATTCCCCTCAGATCATAACACTTGTTTCTAAGATATGTGCACAAAGTACACTGTATTATATGACCCTGAAAGTCAGTTGTTTTACAATGCTTTTCTGCAATATGCTTCTGAGACTGGCAAGTAAAAAGTGGCCATCTCCACTTCCTGCTAGTGGAAAGCATAAATTTGGCTATGAGATTCTTGGAATCCTGCCATGAAGACAGGTGGTTCTCAACATTTCTACTCAGAGCTCATGTTTCTAAATGCTGAGACTCCACAATGATAGATTACATAAAAGCCATGGCTAGATATTCAAGGAATTAGTTTAAGTCAAGTACTCGTCAATTCTATCTTGTAACATTTGCTCTCTGGAGTTAGGAACTTGATATTCATATGCCCTAGTCTATCAAGTCATGGTGTGTTAGAACTCAAAGCATCCTATAGAATTTCCTCATAAAGCATGGTTCTCATTTCCACAGGGAACTAAAACTGTTTTAGTGTACGAGTCATAAAACTTATCAATTTAGAATATCGTTCTCATTATTATTAGCAAAAGTCCAATATAAACCATTTTTAAGCTTCTTTTATTACACATATAGTCTCAAAACACTTGATTGCTTGACATACATAACTTCATAGACAAAGTTAATAATCTTTAACAATTACATTATTGTTTTAAAGTGAATAATAAATTCTAGATTTGGCCCTGAGTTCAAGCCCCGGAACTGGAATACACACACACACACACACACACACACACACACACACACACACACACACACACATATATACACACACAATAAATAAATGAATAAAATCTATTTTTGAAGATATGTAAATTATATTCACTTTATAATAATTTCCCCATCAATAAAAAATATTTCATACTTTGTTAATTCCCGACTGTTAGGCAAATAAAAAAGAAATATAAAAGTTCAGTATTAAATGATTCCCTGTTAAATAGCCAATCATATTATAAACTTCTATCTCAGTATATCATCTGCTTTGTATTATTAGAAAAGTTATATAAAATTTAAAAAGAAACTTATAAGGAGTTCTTAAAGTTACTTGCTTTCTTTCAAGGTAAGAATCTGAGACATAGGAAGTGGCACTGTGGTTCAAGTGGTAGAGCACTCACCTTGAGTTGAAGAGCTCAGGGATAGAGCTCAGGCCCAGAGTTCAAGCCCACGACTGAAAAAAAAAAGAATTCTGATATATAATAAAGTTTCAATGACTAGAATACCTCCCCTTCCCTTCCTCCAAAAATCACTCTCACTAGCAATCTTTGTCAACTTGGGCAGGTTTCTAAGCCTCCATCTATTTACTTTTGAACAACTTCTCCAAACCATCCTTTTCTCTACATTACGACTGTCAAGACTTTTGCTTAGACTACTATCTCTGATCTAATTAATTACTTCTGTTTCCTGAGCCCATATCTGTCCTTTCTCCAGCTAGTATCCAACTATAGACAGATTTTATCTTTAGCATCTTGGCCTAATCATATTCCTCCCTTATTCAGAATCCTTTAATAACACTCAACATATGAAAAAAGGATAAAGCCTATCTGCCTTAGTATTTCACGAAAGTACCTTTAAAATCTGGCACCTGTATGCCATTCCTGTCTCTTTTCCCATCATTCCCATTCTCCTATCCTAGGAATTGAAAAAATGTTCTATGCTTAGTAGACTATTTGTTGCTTGCATTAAGACATAGAAATACAGAAAGGTTAAGTGACATGTTACACCAATACAGCTGCTATAGCTAACAACCAATTATTTTCTATTTTCCTATTTTCTCTGTATTGATATTACAAAGCCCAGTGCTGGCTCAAATACAAACTAATTCTTAGAGAGTTTCCTGATCCACTAACCTTCTACTTCATAATCTGGAAATTAAAAGGGTTTGACTAGACTATTTAGTCTCCAAATATTCCCTAAAGCCCCTGCTATAAAGCATTGTACAATTTCATTGTGCTTTTATAAATGATTATTTCATTCCATTGTGATAAATTTCATACTTCTCAGAAATATACTATTCATATTATTTTAGCTCAATTTTTAAAATGAATATTTGCATGAACACTCAGGGACTATAACTTCTTCCTATCATTCAGAGCAAGAGCAGAACCTCAAAAGGACAAGATAAAGCATAAAATCCCTTACAGCCCTTATTAAGATAGAGAGTTCTTATCAAGATAGATGTTCAAAATCTATCTTGAGAGCGGGGATCTGAACCTCTCATTTCTGCTCTCATTTCTGCCTGATGAAAGGACTATTATCTAGAGCTACATATATTTGTTAGACTTCCAAGACAACAAAAATATTTTAAAACTTATAATAACCTCTTCTAATATGTACATAGTACTTACCACTAGAAAAACGGTCTAAATGGTCTTCATATCTAAATTAGTAAGCTGTGCATCAAGAGTATATGATTCTGTGCTTAAGAATGGCATAACTTGTTTAAGAAAACTAACAATTAACAAATACCAGGAAGCTGAAATGTGAAGTATCTGGGGAGTAAAATCAAGGCAAAAAGTAGACAAATGAATAGAGGAAGAGTGCGAGAATGCAGTCATAATATTATATATATAGATATATATGTGTGTGTGTGTGTGTGTGTGTGTGTGTGTGTGTGTATATGTGAAAATGAATATGAAAATGGAACTAGAAAAATTGAGGGGATGGGTAAAGTCAGAAGAGATGGGGGAACAAATGAAGGGGTAACACTGGTTAAGAGGTGTTACACTCATAAACTGACATGTTTAATTGAAATCCCTTTGTATTACTACTTAAAGACAACAAAAATGATAAAAATAAAGAACAGCAACAGAATCCAATTATTTGCCTCTGTGTAAAGAAGAAAAATTGTCCAGTGGAGAACATCTCAGGATGTCTACCTAACACAGATGCTTTACTATGAAAAGTCCACCAACTTTTCCTCAGCAATACATTTTGGACTCTGTACATTGTTTACAGTTGATCATTTCAAAGGTAGAAACTGTTCATCTCATAATCACCTCATTGGCTGAGTTGTTACTATCAATATTTATAATAATTTAGTCAAGGGATAGTAGCTTAGCTAGTCAGAAGCACTGACTGGAAGGCCATGCAAGGAATCGACACCATATGTATTTTGAAGGATCAAGAGATGGAAGGGGAAAGGGGGGTAGATAGAGGAGATAGTGAGAAAGGAGAAAGTGAGATTTCTATTCTTCAACTTTGTTTAAAATGTCTACGTTCTGATAAATCCTCCTTAATTCAGTCTTAGTTGGTACTTGATAGTTAATTATAGTGCATACTTCTTTGAGGACCTAATGACTCTTAGAAGGGTCCATGGATCCTTCTTAATCTTTCTTATAATAAACTAATGTGGTATCTGACAATTCTTTCCAACATTTGCAAAAGTAGGGAAGAGTTTTTTTTCACTAGATATAGAACAGTCATCTCTTTCCATAAGTAATACTTTGTAGTTTTACATCAATTATATTTAAGATGTCTTTTCTTAATCTGTAAACAAAGTCACTGTCCGACCAAGTTATCTTTGAAAAATAAAAAGAATACAGAATAGTTTTATCCTTTCTCTCTTTTCACTGCTGAAACTAAGCTCTAATTCTACTTGCATTATTATAATGGATCTATTATTTCATATTGAAAGGACTTGTTATTTATTATTATTCCTTTAGCCCAGGAGAGAATCAGACTACTTAAAAATGCCTTTTTTTAAAAAAAAATAAGATTTAATAAACTAGCATTGGAAAAACTGGTGGTCTTTATTACAGAGCTCAGCATGAACCTTGCTTCATGATTCAAAATATTGGCAGGAGCCACAAGGTGAGCCAGCAGATGACCAGCCACACAGAATGTGTCAACTACCAACAGAGTTATGCCTGAACTGACATTCAGACATAAAACAACATGGCTTTTACTTCATGCATGCCCCTAATCCTCTTGTATTATGATTCTTACATTCCACATAAAGGTGAAGGTAGGCTTGCAAGGAATTTGAGGTATTGTATTTCTAGTGTAGTTAACTCAATATAAAGGAAACCCAGTGAACTATGCTTGATATATGCTAATATCATTTTATCAGTGAGAAAATAACAAACCTGCAATCATAATTTTCTTGGCTTGGCAAGTTATTCATGGATTTCTACAAGACAAATTATAACATGATCAATTTTAGCTTCCACATCTTTTTCTCATCATACCACAGCCTTTCATACACATTAAGTACTCATTAATATTGGTGAATTGGACTTAATTTAATTCAGTGATATACTTTACAACCCACGATCAGGCACTTGAACTAATCCCTTTTTATTCATGCCAAAGTCCCTTGACCATCAAATTGAGCCCCATATTTAGTTTCATTTCTTTCTTTACCCAGCTCTTTCTTGAGTAATTGACAGTATTATAGAACAAGTAGTGGTTAGTTCCCATGATTTTTTAACCTGTTGAGATTGTTAAGACAGTGTCTGTAAATAGCTTGAACATCTGAAGTAGTCATCTAAAAGGAATCTATTTACTAGAGTTGAATCACATTTGTTTGAAGACATAATGCATACAACATTTACTCTGTTTTATACTTTGGTATTTGCAAAGTTTCCCTTGCTTGCAGAGCTCATTTTTTATATTGTCTATTAATGAAGCTGTTTTCTCCAACACCATTTCTTAATGTTTGAGAAGTCATGGCCTCTCATGAGACCCTTTGGAAGCTATGTAACCCTTCAACAAATATAAACAAACATGCATTGCATACGATTTTAAAGGAATTGGGAATCTTTGTAGCCAGTCTGCAGATTATCTGGAAGCCTAATATACTCTAACTTATGACTTCCCTTCTTATTTAATAATGATATTTATAAATGAGAATAATTGCAATCCCTAAAACAGCCCCAAATTCGATTATATCACACTAATTTCCCCTTTTGAGGTGGGTATCAAATTTTTTAAAGACCTACAAGCATCCACACAAGTCAGAGACTATCATTTTAACTCTGTTGTAATGGAAGGCTGCCTTCTCTCAGGTAAGCTGTTTTATTTTCATTTACATTTTGCCAACCCTCCTGGTATTCTAACATAGGGCTTTGTATGTAGTCGTTTCCTAATGTACATTTTTCAAACAAGTTTTATATTTCTACCTAGAAAGAGATTTTTTTTTTCTTTATGAAAATCTTCTTAATTTTTCCATTTGATCCACAGGATCAGGTGGTTCTGATCTAATGTAAAGGTTTGAATATTGCATGCAACCTCCCAACAAGGAAGAGATTTCTGTTTTAGTAATTGAACTGGATTGCATTAAGAAAGGAGATTCCAACAGTTTTTGTTTTTATAAAAATGTCTTATTTTGCATGTTTTCTTTCAGACCATAAAATCTGCATTGATTGCCCATCACCTAGATTGAAAAGTGAGTTTCTGATTTTTTATTTGTTCTGGCATGAAATTGAATACATCTGTTTTGCCATGTTTTACCTGTCTTACCTTTTTTACTCATTATTACAGTTTTTCTGCCCAAACATTTACAACCAAAGATATTTTAAAATCTTTATCCTTATTTTTAAAAGTAAAAATACTTTAAAAATAAATTCATTGTGCTTAAAACTCAGGTAAAATAAATTCAGTAAAAATGGTATATTCTTAAGGTGTGAATAAAACCTCATAGCTTTCTGGTCTTTTTCTTCCATTTGGTTTGATTTGTTTCTTTTCATATAAAACAATTCAGCCAGCTATTAGTGGTTCACACCTGTAATCCTAGCTATTCAGAAGGATGAGGTTTAAGGATGGAGAACAAAGCCAGCCTCAGCCTCGGCAGGAAAGTTTTTGAGACTCTTATCTTCACTATGCTACCCAAAAAAAACTGGAAGTGGAGCTATAAATCAAATGGTAGAGCTCTAGTCTTGAGTGGAAAAGAAGCTCAGGGAGAGCTCCTAGGCCCTGAGTTCAAGCCCCAGAAACAGCACACACACACACACACACACACACACATTTATACAGACCTGTTTGAAAACTCGCTTCTCTTCCATGCGGTTATGGAGAAGATATGACATTTTACTAAAGCAGTGCCAGGTCCTTTCATCACTATGATGATGCTATGGCTCTGGAGCCTTTGTCCAGATCATACAGTGTGGACCTTGTCCTGAATGAGCTCCACTTTGGGAATAAACCAAAGCCTGTTCATCAGCTCCATTCAGCTGAAGACTGGAAACTCCAAATGAAGGACTTATATTTCCAAACTATGATGTTCTGTGCCCAGAAGATGAAGATTTCATAGGAAAACAAACCGGCACTGAGCTGGGACAGAAGTTGAGCATATTCTGAAATTTTACTGAATCTCTTTCTTCCTCACATCACTTTTTCCTTTTTGGGGCTGCAGCTTTCTAGCTACTAAATGAGCCTTAAAATTCTTAGTCTCAGAGATTCTTGAAACTTTTCCTTTGTCGCCCAAGATCTTCTGGACGTCCTGGACGTCCTGGAAGGAAGAGTTGGCACTGGGATAATTTTATTTCTTTCTGGGTTTGGACACTGGATACAAGAACTGTGTAGCTGTTTTGAGTGTATGTGTGTGTGTGTGTGTATGAGTGTGTAAGGGCCAGAAGTTTCATGTATTCGTTATCATTGTACTATAACCAGTGTTCAGAAAAAATGGAACCATGCCAAAAAGTTAAAGGCACTAATACTGAAATGGATCACTCTTCTGTTAGCACTGACCATTTAAATGAGCATTGCTTTGTTTTCTAATTAAAAAAAAAGCTCACAAGCAAAGTTAATACACTCTTTTAGTTCTGTTTTTTTCCTTAATAAAAGAGCGGGTGATCAGAAGAGGGCCAGCTGGAACCATGTAATTTAGGTGCCTCAAGCTGTCTTTTTCATAATTACTGCATGAATACATCTTAGCATCATTAGAATGTAACTTAAAATATATCCACACATGCTAAAACATTCCTTGAAGTGTAAACTCCTATGTAAAATAATGCTAGACACCACAATAAAAGAAGTCAACTGTGTTAAAATACAAGGTGAAAATTAATAAGAAAACATTCTTGGAGTTACTTTTTAGCATTCTCAATATTGTGCAACTGCAAAGCTATCAAACTTTTGGATTCACTCTACATATGTAACTGGAAACTTCTAATTTGGCCAGTCATTTTAAACCATTTTTTCAATTGTTCAGTTTTCTTTCTTAAATAAAATATAGCAACTGAAGATATTAATTATGTACTACATGAAATAATCGTTCATGGAGAAAAATAAGCTGATATTGTAAAGCAAATTTGTGATGAGTTGAACTATTCTTTCCAAAATTATCACTAGGAGGGATAAATTGTTTGGAAGTATTTCTTTTGCAAAATAGCTAGAAACTTCATGTAACTTCATATGAAGTTACAACTAAATCTAGCTGTAGCTAAATTTAGCTTCCTAAATCTTCCTAATTATATTTTCAATTATATGCACATTTAATGGGAACTGCAAAGTAATTACTAACTCTAGAATAGTACAGTATACACACATTTATTTTTGTTTAAAACAACACAGCTGTCCCTCTGAGAGCCTTCAGGAGGTGAAACTACATGACTCACTAATGTGGGAAGTTCAGCATTGATGGCTAACACATGAGATTTTTTTCCACCACTTGCTCTTTACATTTAGCAGCAAATGGCTAAGTTTGGAAATGCTGCATCTTTCTATTTAAAAATATAGTAGTAGCACTGCAATTTGAAGACTTCTTTTATAGTCAGCAAAAATTTTTAGTTCTGAGATTAAAATGGGGTGTGAAAAAAGCCATCGCCTCTAACTACTGTACATTTTATTTATTTTTAAATAGTTATAAAAGCACGAACCTTTGGAGAAATTATGGATGTTTGACCGCATAGTCTTCAGAGATTTTCCTTCGATATCAGATGAGTTATATCCTGGGATTTTAACAAGTTACATGACATCATGATTATAATAAGACATTGCTCCTACCACAAAGGAAAAAGTTGGCATTCTACCCAGTTGACTTACATCACAAGTGATGACATTTATCCAGAAAACTTGGGGTGATAAGAAAGGACGAAGGACAAATCATAAGCAACATCTAAGGTACAGAGGTTGTTTCAGACTCTGGATTCCCATAGCCACTTAACTCAACCTTTGTCGTCTCTTGAAGGTCATGGTGATGATCAGAAATTTGTTGCAGTGATGGAATAATAACCATGTCTAGAAAATGGGCAGTCCATGATCCAGTGCAGAATCCTGGACATTGAGATGATTGCAATTACTAGCAGGAGACTGATGACGATTACTGCACCTGCCATTCTTGCACTGCTGCTCACCTCCTTTGGGTTCCTTTGGAAATGCCTGTGAATACAAACTTCACTTTCCAAAGCCACATCTGTGTTAGTTCCTTCATGTGCCAGTCCCACATTTCCTATCTGCACAGAGTAAAGAAATACCTGAAGATTTGTATACTTGACCACTGACTGTGGGTGGAAAACATCCCTGCTCCCAGCACTGAAAGGGCAACCTATGTGCTGGCCCCCCACCTGGAGAACAACATCTCCCCAGGACATGGCTTAGCCTTGCATTCTGGCTTTGGCCTCCTTTCCTTTCCAGTCACATTGACTGCTTCTCTACTTTTCTTGAAGATATTTCTTAGTAAATTACTTTCTCACAAATTCTCCAGAGATGTTTCTGGGAAACCTGAATCTAAGGTAGTAATGAAAAAAAAGAAAGAAGCATAGAAGAGAGGTATAATTGTTAAGCTCTTTTGTTAACTTGACTGGGAAAGCGGTGCCCAGATATTTGGTTATTATTTCTAGGTATACCTGTGAGGGTGTTTCTGGGTGAGACAAACATTCAAATTGGTAGAGTATGTAAAATATATTCCCTCTGGTCCCTATGTGAGCCTTATCCCTCTAGTTATAGGCCTGAATAGAATAAAAGGCCAAACAAGAAGAACCATTGGTCTGACAGACTTTGAGTTGGGTCTTGGGCTTTTTTCCCCTTCCTACTTCAGACTTGGACTTGAACTCACATTATTGGTTCTCTTATTTCTCAGACTGTGCATCTTCACTCCTCTCAGACTAAATAATACTATGGAATAATGCTTACAATAATTTATCTATCTATTTATCTACTTACATCCTATTTATCATCCTCTTGAAAAAATCCTAAAAACAACAGATCCAGGACTAAATATACTCCCAATGTCCTTTACTTCAGAAATTAGGAGAAGACTTAAATAGGATCTTTCTGTTGTAGCTGATAGGATATGATAGAATATTTAGAGGCACAAAAATGTGCAGCAGATGGTTTACGTTCCTCTCCTGTAGTGTTTTCAATGTGTACCATAACACTGTTATCCCATTTTGCTGTATAATCTAGAATGCTATTCCTGTGAGATGCATATGGTCAGGGATCACATGGTCAGAGACCCCTTGTGAATTCTTAGAGGATACTAAGTGATGCCTAAATTGGAGTTGGATCGTGGAATTCGCTTCACAGAATAATTTCACATTAATGCTATATTTTGGGCATCACACTTTATGGCATAATTCTCTTACTAAATTATGTTGGATGATGAAAATAATATCATGTTGGGAACTAGAAGCCCCAAATTCTGACTAATGTGTTATTACTCCCTACTTATTTGACTTAGGACAAGCTGATAAATTTTGAGTCTCTGTTTCTTCATTAAATTATTACAATACTTGAATATCTTATATAAGTTTTAGGGTTGTATATCCTAGAATAAGACAACTTGAAAAGAGTTGAAAGAATACTTCATCTATTTTAATATTATCTAATATCTAGAGAAATAGCCAATGACCACTCCTGGTATTTGGGTGTCTAGAAGTGTGTAATCCTCTTTAAGATCATAAAATTTATAGAACCAAAATTATATGTATAGTGCATATTATTTTAATCTAGCAAAATATAAAACTCAAGTGTTAACTAGGTACTAGTGACTCACATCTGTAATCCTAGCTACTCAGGAGTCTGAGATCTGAGGATCACAGGTCAAAGCCAACCCAGGCAGGAAACTACATGAGTCTCTCATCTCCAATAAAAACGACTAAAAAAAGAAAACCCAGAAGAGAAGCTGTAGCTCAAGTGGCAGACTGCTAGCCTTGATCAAAAGAAGCTCAGGGACAGTGCCCAGGCCCTGAATTCAAGCCCTAGGTGACAGAAAGAAAACTCAAATGTTCTCAAATAATACAAATATCAAAATATGGGGAAATAAAATGGTGTATAAATTAACTCCTTGACACCTTGTATTTTCCAATTATTTTGGTTCCATATTCTGATTGTTTCTTTAAAAGACAGAAATGCTGCAATGTCATAGAACAAAATTTTAAAAATGTTTTTGCATTGGCATGACAGAAAGGTTATTTTTTAATTGCTAGCTTAGAAAAATCTTCATCGATTTTGACATTAGAGTTTCTAAAATCTACTGTGGTATGCTAAGTGAGATTTTGGCATTTTGAAGCTTCTGCCAGTCTCTTTCACTCCAAATTTTGGGCTTTGTTCCAGTCATATTCAAATGGTGGTCTGATTGACAATTATGAAAAAGTTTGAAATGAAGTTGCACACAATAGCAAACGAAAGGCATTTGGAGTCAACACCCCAAAAAGAAGAAAGATTTTGAAAGTTTTCACCATAAAGAAATGATGAAGTTTAAGGAAATGAATATATTTATCCTGGTTTAAATGTTGCTCAATAAGTACATGTATATAAACATATCATGATGACTCAATCATTTATAATATGTGTTTTTATGCATTGATTGAAAATATATATGATATATTAAAATAGCTGTGCACATATGACCATATAATATGATGCTAATCAAAATGAACCCTAAGATATGGAAACAAAAGGTTTTTCTTTGTTCTTGTTATTTTAAATGTACTGTTTGAAGTTATTTCATTTTTCTTAGGGTTTTTCCCCTTTGGTTTATCCCCTGTTGTCACTGTATTTGATTTTGGTACCCTGTGTCTTGAATATATGTTTATCTGATTTGGGGAAGGGAAGAGGAACAACAAAAAGATAAGACAAAGGACAAAGGTGGAACCAGTGTAACAATGATACTCACAAAACAGTATGTTGAAAATGAACATGTGGGGAAAGTGAAGTGGGAGAAAAATGAGGGAGGAGTAACAATATTCAACAAGAAATGTACTTACTACCTTACTAACCTCTTGACAATAAAATTAAATTTAAAAATTTTTCACTTAAATACCCATTCCATATTTAAGGGTGGTATGAAGTATGCAATCTAGTTTTTCTAATATACACATCAGCTTACTCATGCATGTGTGAACAATAACATAAAAAGTATCTATACACCCACCTTTGTTCAACAACTGAGAACATTTTTGTCATATTTACTTCATGTATAATATCTTTGTCATATCACACACAGCACCATAGAGAATTTTCTACAATAGAATCTTAGAATCTGACAAGTTTCCTAAGGGAAAATGAGTGAGATTCTCTGAGATGTGATATGCTGTGTTTAGATACATCAAACGGGCTCTCCCTCTCTTACAGGAATTCATAGCATAATGCACATTTTTTTCCAATAATTATGATAAATTCTGTTTTGTGGGATTCCCAAGAGTGTACATTCCAGTGTATATTTAGCTGGATATGCTTGTTTAACCAGTGAATTTTTGACAGGGAATGAGTTTTGATTAGTCATCTATTACAATAAAAAAAAACTCAGCTTTCCAGTTCACTCATATACTGCTCCACTTCCAGTTCTGTGGAAGTCATTTGGAAATAAGAGACTCACCGACTTTCCTGCCTGGGTTGGCTTCTAATCGCAATCCTCAGGTCTCAGCTTCCTGCTAAGTTCACAGAAGTGAGCCTCTAGCACCAGGCTAGAATAAATTTTACAAATGACTTTTACCAACTTATTCTCTTCAATGAAGAAATGAATAAACAAAGTATGCTCTACCCATGTGACAGGATAATTTTGATACATGCAACCATATGGGTGGATATTAAAAGCATTATGCTAGGTGAAAAGAATATAGACCCAGCAATCCCACTTTTGGGCATTTACCCAAATGATCACAAACAAGACCATACTAAAACTACCTGCACAACTATGTTTATTGCAGCATTATTTACCATAGCTAAGATATGGAACCAACTCAGATGCCCCTCAGTAGAAGAATGGATCAAGAAAATATGGTATATATACACAATGGAATTCTATGCCTCCATCAGAAAGAAAGAATGACATTGCCCCATTTGTTAGGAAATGGAAAGACTTGGAAAAAATTATATTAAGTGAAGTAAACCAGGCCCAATGAAACATAGGTCCCATGGTTTCCCTTATTTGCAGTAACTAGTATATGTCTGAGACAAGCAGAAAAGGCCAGATAAATAAACCCCAAGATAAGTATTCAAATGGGTTTTTTTTCATGTGATTGTTTCTAACATATTTATAAGATGATTTCTTTATTGCTTTGTATGTTCCTCCCCCACGGTATAACCCCTGTTTTCACTGTATTTGATGTTGTTATAATTTGTGGAGGGGAAGGGAAAAAACAAATTGTTTAAATAGGGATACAGGTGGACCCATTGCAACAATGAGATGTACAAGTCATAATGTCGAAAAACGAACTTTACAGCTTTGGCCTGGGGGGGAAGCGTGGGGACGGTGCAGTAGGAAGGGGAAACAAAGGAGGAGGCTACAATGCTTGATAAGAAATGTATTCATTATCTTGCCCATGTAATTGAAACCCCTCTATATGGTATTTTCATAATAAAAAAAGAATATAGACACAACCAATGACTGCATGATGTATGCTTTCATGTATATGGAATTCTTGGAAAAACAAAATTATAAGATAGAAAATGGGTGAGTTGCTGGCTGCAACTGGCCAGAAGGGCTGCAAAAGGGCTATT